TCTCGCTAGATCTATATTTTATTAAAATAGGAAAGATTAAACCTTATCTTTGTTTCATGGGGAGCAGAATAGGTTGGTGAAGGGGATTGTTCCCCCTGATTTGAAGAATTAGAAACATAGATACCATCTAGATATTTGGGTTAAAAGTATAATCTGTTTGGCTGTTCTACCCTACTTGGATTTTTTTTTCCAGCTGTTACCTTTCTAGTATTTCCAATCCACTGCATACTTATAAAGCTACAGGGAACCCAAGGACATAAGAACATAAGAGACGCCAATGTTGGATCAGGCCAAAGGCCCATCCAGTCCAACACTCTGTCACACAGTGGCAAGAAATACCAGTGCCATCAGGAGGTCCACCAGTGGGGCCAGGACATTAGAAGCCCTCCCACTGTTGATCCCCCCCCCAGCACCAAGAAGACAGAGCATCACTTGCCCCAGAGTCCCTATCTATACCTTGTGGCTAATAGCCACTGATGGACCTCTGCTTCATATGCTTATCTAATTCCCTTTTGAAGCTGTCCATGCTTGTAGCTGCCACCACTTCCTGTGGCAGTGAATTCCATGTGTTAATCACTCTTTGGGTGAAGAAGTACTTCCTTTTATCCGTTCTAACCCGAACCGCTCAGCAATTTCATGGAGTGCCCACGAGTTCTTGTATTGTTAGAAAGGGAGAAAAGTACCTCCTTCCCTACCTGCTCTATCCCATGCATAATCTTATAAACCTCAATCATGTCACCCCTCAGTCGTCATTTCTCCAAGCTAAAGAGCCCTAAGCGCTTTAACCTTTCCTCATAGGGAAAGTGTTCCAACCCTTTTATTATTCGAATTGCCCTTTTCTGCACCTTTTCCAAAGCTGTGTATAGAATACACATATATGTGTATATAATATTATGATATTATTGATATTGGCTGATCTGTTTTCAATACCCTCCCTAATAATCCCCAGCATAGCATTGGCCTTCTTTATTGCAGTCACACACTGTCTCGACATTTTCAGTGAGTTATCTATTACAACTCCAAGATCTCTCTCTTGATGTTGTAGTAGATAACTCACTGAAAATGTTAGATAATTCTGTAAAGGAGGAATGCTAGATAATTCTGTAAAGGAGGGGAAAGTGCTGCGGAATACATTTCCATTCTTGACTTTGTGAGAAGGAGCTAGGTCTCTCATCTCATGTGCGATTTTTGTAAACTTCTTTATCAATACTGCATATAAGCATTCATGACTATTAAGTACATAAAATCCCCTTGGTTCATGCAGTGATTTATACACAGGAGTTTAATAATGCCAACCATGTAGGCAAATCAATTAACTCAGTCTCATTCACTTTTCTGCAACAAGCCTACTTCTCTGCAAGTTGAACAAAAATTTAAATTCTGTCAAGCGTGTATAAATGCCTACACTACCATAAAAATTGTTGATTGTTGACATTGCACACATGAATAGTATACTCCCAGATGAATCTTGTGCATGTCTGGAAACACAGAGATACATTAGCAAGTGCTGATAGTTTCCTAAATGTGATTGTCAGCATCCATTTGTATAGATCTGAAATATGGTGAGATGTTTATTTTGAGACATATGTGAGTAGCTTGATTCTTTCCTCCTTATCAGAAAAAAAAGTCTAAGATAGCCGCCATCTGCCCAGGGACTGCAGAAACAAAGGAAAGACTTTTTGCACCAAAAAGATGTCTAGGAGCCTCCAGGAATTTGCACCCCACCCTTCCTCGGATGAACACCAGTAAGAGAAGATCAGATTTGCATAACTGGGTATAAGTGCTTACTTTGTTCTGATGTTATCAAATGGATTTCTCTCCATTGCCTTATCCATTCACTTTCCTTCCCTTAGGCATGTTGTTTTCTTTTTTTTCCTTTTAGTTTGTAAGTCTGAGGACAGTGGTTTCTCTTCTGAAAGTAATGAGTGCTGTTTTGGGAAACAATTATCTGAAAGTGGGATATAGATAGCAATATGACAAATAAACAAACATTTCTGGGCTTTGGTTATGTATATGGGAATGGGAGAAACTCAAGCCCAAGCAAGGAAATACAAGATGAAAGTGTATGCATTAGGTATGGTCCTCATACAGTAATTTCTTCTTCTGTAGAAGCAGTCATGATCATTCCCAGGTAAACGCTTGGTGACCCTGTGGTAGATGGATACCACCAATTTCACATCAATGCCCACAACCATGGAGGCTAGAACCAATGCTGGCATAATTGTGGAAATTCTTGTTACTGTATCTGTGTAGTACACTTTTCACCACATGTAGGTGTATATGTGATAATAGATTGTTCAGAAGTACTTGTTTGTAGGAAACAACTGTGTGAACACACTTCTTGATTCTGCTATCATCATGTACATATATCACTATTTTAGATTTTTAAACTGAATTTTTTTCAGATACACAAAGTCCTCTGCTGAACACATTAATGCCTTAAACTGCATCAGACTAGCGGCCAATCAAGATCAGTGGAATCTGCTCTGGGGCGGCAGCAGATCTCCAGGGTCTCATGCATAGATCTTTCATATCACACACAACCTGAGCCTTTTAATTGGAGATACCAGGGATTGAGCCTGGAACCTTCTGCATGCCAAGCAGATACTTTGATGCTGAGCCATGGCCCCCTGCTGATTCCACGATCCGCCACCATGCAACAACAGGCTGCAAATATTGCTGCTTAACCTCTCTCCGATGCTGTTCTGAGCTGCCATTGCTGCTTGCCCACAAGCTAGGGAGTGGCAATGACTCCTTGGACTACTCATCATTTACTTGCATACTTCTCTGTATGTAGGCACCAATAGCCCAGGAGGCTTGCAGTGGAATCTTATAGAGTTACATCCTTTCTAAGCCCATTGACTTGGATGGATTTAGAAGGATATAATTCTGTTTAGAAGTGCACTCTTAAAGTGGCATTTGGGAATCGTACTTTATTCCCTCCTCTAGAGGGAAGGGCATGTGTGTACTTGCAAGCAGGAGGGGGCAGTAAACTTGGGTGTGTGGTTCACTAGAGTTATTAACCTCCAGGTTGGGCCTAGAGTTCTTGCAGAATTGCAACTGATCCCCAGACTACAGAAGTCAGTTTCCTTGGAGAGCTTCAGAGGGCAAGAGAAACAGTCCCTCCCCAGTACAGCTCCCAAACCTCTAAGAATTTCCCAAGCCAGAGCTGGTAACAAAGCAGGGGGCACTGAAGGTAATCTTGCCCTGAAATCTGGAACTGGCCCGGAACTCCACAGCCCCACCCCTTCATCAACTTATCCCTACTTTGGTTTACAGTTTCTTGGAGTGAGAAGAGTGTGACCTAGTACAAAGAGTATCTAAAGAATCGCCCAAACACACGGCTTTGAAAATGCCACTCCCATTCTTTGAACCTGAGCTCAGATTCCCAATACACACCTACAAGGAACCCAGACAGTGAAGAACAGGTCTGCTCTTCTGACTTTCCCTAGCCATTGAGTTAGGAAGTGAAGGGAAGCATCTTTCTCTCCACCTCTCCCCATTAATCTTGAATATCTTTCCTGTCTTGTAGGAAAATTCGTGTTCTTTTCCGGGTCTGGGTTAAAAATGCTTTTCCACCAGAGTTTTGTGGAGGAGAAAGCAAAACAGAACACTATAATACCTTCTTCCCAACCCTCCTCCGTTCCTGCCACATATATGTTTAACACACCCTTTTTTCACCTCAAACAGGGAAGACAGTGTCCTCATGTCAGTGAGAGAGTAGTTCACACACATCTATTGCTACGCTAGCGTGCAATGGGGTGGGAGGGTAATAACATTAACCTCCTTCCGTCAGGAGCATCCATAGGGAATTAATCGTAAACAGACACATGTAGCTCCAGCAATGGCTGGCCAGATGACATATCTCTCTCACACACAAAAAGGGTGGGAGCATCTCACATCCCTTAAGCTTCTTCCTCCGAGAGCGCGCGCCCTCCTTGCTCTCTATAACGTATTCTGCGGCGCGCTCCCGTCTCCCGTTACTGCAGCTGGCTTGTGTGCGCGAGCGCGCCATGCAGCGGTTCACCCCGACCCTTAATTCCTCTGAACCAGTCCAGCGGCGGACGGATAAAATCGAAAACCGCGCGATTGCACAGGAGTCTCCTTCTCTCTCGCTGCGTTGCGGAGGGATCTCTCAGTTTCCCCCTTTAGAGAACGGGAAGGAGGAGGGGTGTGTGTGCGCGCGATGCGGTTCTCTTGAAGCTCCGTGGCCGTTACTTTAGGAGAGGGAGAAAAGGCGAAGAGGAGATCGAGGGTGTGCACCCGTGAGGGGAGAATTAGTCCCCTTAAAAGGGGGGCGGGGGTGTTTAAAGACAGGAGGGGAGGTGTGGTTGCTATAACGGAGGCATTGGGAACAGGAACCAGAAAGAAGGGCATGTGGGGGAAAGAAACTGACTGGGTGAGGGGCTGAAGTGGCGATGAGTCACCTAGGAAGGGCTAGGGAAGGGAGAGACTGAAGTAGCCGGGGGGGGGGGGGGGGGAAAGGGCTGCTAGCAGTAGTTGAGCTACCTTAAAAAAAAAAGACAAGTGGGGGAGGCACTAGATATCTAGGTGCTGTTCGTGAGAGAGGCAGAGAGAGCCCCGGTTTCCTGGGAAGGTGGGCGAGGTTGTCAGGGCTCCTTCCTGTCTGCAAGAAACAAATCAGGGCTAGCTCGGTGAAAGGAAGAGTGATTTTTCTCTGGGTTTGGCTTGGGTGAAGGGTTGTGCATGCGAAGGAGGGAGACTTGTTGGGGGCTGGCGAGGGAGAATGCCGTTTCTCCCCTCCCTGTCGCTTGCACGCTCTTGCTGGATCGGGGGTAATTAGCTTAGGAGAGTTTCGCTGGCGTTTCTGCCCCTGGAGCGCGGTCGCTTGCTGGTGCTGCAGCCCGAGGCGGAGGGGGGGTAATTGCGTGCGCGGCTGATGTAGGATCTTGGTAGGGTTCCTCCTTTCTTTCTCCTCTTCCTTCCTCTTCAGCACGGAGAGAGGAGGAAGAAAGAGTCATTCGGAGACGTTGGTGGAAATTAAAAAAACCAGCAATGAATGCCGACCGCTGCTTTATCGTTTTCTTTCTGGATGAGGAACAGAAAGCCCCTTTGGCCAATGCCCTGACTACTTTTTAAATTTTGTTGGCGAACTGCCTTGGATATCTATTTTTCTAGAAATCGTGGAGTGTTTCAGGGAACCACTACAACGAAAGGAACAGAAACTCTCCGTTTTGTATCTTTTAAATCCCGATTTTTTTAAAAAAAGAAACCTCTTAAGTACAAAGCATGGAGAATGAAATATTCACGCCTCTTTTGGAGCTCTTCATGTCCAGCCCTCTTGTTACATGGGTAAGCATTTATTCGTCATTCTGTGGCAGATTCTTTTTAAAAGGATAACCTTTCATGCTGTAGGAACTGAAATGGAGTCAATATCATGATGCTAATTATGTTGTAGGTTAAGACATTTGGACCCTTAGCTGGAGGAAATGGAACGAACTTGGAGGAGTATGTTGTGCTTGTGGATGGAGTTTTCTTGAATGAAGTCATGCTGCAAATGTAAGTTATTTTATTCCTCTGTATTTTCGTTTCTTACAGAATGCTGTTAAAGGTAGTGATTGGTCTAAGAACACATTAAGATTGTATAGGAATGGAGCTAAATGTGTTGCTACACTTTATGATAGGGTACTGTCGCATAGAAACTGGCTGCTGTTTTTCTGAGAAAGTTGTATGTGTTCATCATTCTAAGAGAAGTGGAGAGTCATGAAATACTAGGGGCAAAGAGCTAAGAGCTAACAGTATGCTTGGTCAATGTTTAGTTCCTACCAAACACAGGAGAACCACTTTATATTTGGTGTAAAACTCAGTATTCATTTTAATGGTTTTTGGAGAAGCAGACTGGATTACCTTCCAAGACCCAGTCTTTATGTTTAATGTGGTAACATCTGTAATTCTCATCAATGGTATTGGCTTACATTAAAGTGCAATTACAGTCTTGTCCTATCTTCATCTATTTGTAAGAAAATTCACTCTTTGCTGCAGTCTACATTGAACTATTTTGTGCTGTAATTTTGAAATATCTCAAAACAAAGGGATAGTACTGTTTTCAGGCTTGCCTACTGATGAATCAAAGTACTGATTTTGTTTTAGTTGGCATAATTTGATAGCAAACACTACAAACAGTAGTCTGTCCTTGGTCTGTATTCACATGGCAAAGCTAACCGAAATTGATTAATACTTAAATCATGTTGGACTCTCAGTGATACTGTATGAAAAAGTCATATGCTATTCCATTGGAAAACAACTAGATAAACTGAGCATTTTAAGTAGTAAGCTGTGGAAAATAATTTTTACTGTAGCAAAAATGTGCTCTTTGAAGCTGTGTGTTGGCTCCGGTAGGATAAACATTGCCACAAGTGGTCTACTGAAACATTTCAAAAGGGTGTGTGTGTGTCTAGAACTGGATTACTTTAAACTTATAGGAAAGACTCTCTGATATGAAAGCTTTAAGCTTTGATCTCATAGTTTTGTATATCCTCTTCTGACACCCAGGAAATCACAGCTTGCAAGTTATTGTGGCCCAATATTTGGAAATCGCCATGTATGAATAGACATTTGTGAGATGAGCCACAAGATGTTGTTAGTAGGAAGAATTTGACATTAACTCTCCCAGCTTGTGCATTTGAAGGCTACATAAGGAAGATGTTTGTATTTAGCAGTGGACATATTTATAACTTGTTGACACTGAGGTGGATCCCACCCCTAGCCTACCATTCCACTTAGCAAAGTTTGAAGCCTTCCTCCAGCCTAAGAAAGCCTTCCTCCACCCCATTGGAACTAGCTTCAGATAATATTGTTATTTAAGATCTATGGAGGGTATACGGTCCATTAATGAAATTGTACAAATGTATTTCTTTCATTGTAGATTCAGTAAAGCTAAAGATTTCAATTATGTTGTCACTTGTTTTTTGTTTGTTGTGAGGACGGTGTTTTTCTTGTTTTATGGTCTTATTTAATCAAGGTTACTGTCGTTGATGGACTTTGCAAGAATGATGAGCCATAAGGATATGTCTCAGAATACTTAAATATTCAGTTGCCTTTCAGAATGCTTGGGTGTAGGGGTTGGATTTAGGTGCTATTTGATTAACGGTCTGATCTGGAATAGTAGACTGGCCGGGCCTGTTGATACAGTATGCCTAGGAAATTTTTCATGGGCTTCTGTCTGATTTAGAGAGATGAAGGTGCTGGAATAGCAAGAAAAGCAGTCTTAGGACATAAGGATGAATTTGTTGTTCAGTCACACAGTCGAGTCCATGGACCACATCACGCCAGGCCCTCTTGTCTTCCGTCATCCTCTGGAGTTTGTTTAATTTCATGTTTGTTGCATTGAAACACTGTCTAACCATCTCATCCTTTACTGTCCCCTTCTTCTTTCACCTTCATTCTTTCCCAGCATCAGGATCTTCTCCAGTGAGTGCTCCTTTCTCATTTGGTGGCCAAAGTATTTGAGCTTCAGCATCTGGCCTTCCAGGGAACAGCCAGGGTTGATTTCTTTTAGGATTGACTGATTTGATTTCCTTTCAGTCCAAGGGAATCTCAAGAGTCTTCTCCAGCACCATAATTCGAAAGCATCTATTCTTCAGCACTTGGCCTTCCTTATGGTCCAACTCTTGCAGCTATACATTACTACTGAGAATACTATTGCTTTGACCATACGGACTTTTGTTGGCAGGGTGATGTCTCTACTTTTATTATGCTGTCTAGGTTTGTCATAGCTTTCCTCCCAAGGAGCAGGCATTTTTTAATTTCATGGCTGCAGTCACCGTCTGCAGTGATCTTGAATCCCAGGAATGTGAAGTCTGTCACTGCTTCCATGATTTCCCCTTCTATTTGCGAAGGAGTGATGGGGCCAGATGCCATAATCTTAGTTTTTTTGATTTCGAGTTTCAAGTCAACTTTTGCACTCTCCTCTTTGACCCTCAGCAAGAGGCTCTTTAGGTCCTCTTCACTTTCTGCCATTAGAGTGGTATCGTCTGCATATCTGAGGTTGATGTTTTTCCTGGCAATCCTAATTCCGGTTTGTGATTCATCCAGGCTGGCATTTCACACAATGTACTCTGCATATAAATTAAATAAACGTGACAATATACATCCTTGTCAGACTCCTTTTCCTATGCTAAACCAATCAGTTGTTCCATGTCCAGTTCTAACTATTGCTTCTTGACCCTTATACAGGTTTCTCAGGAGACATGTGAGGTGGTCTGGTACTCCCATCTCTTTAAGGACTTGCCATAGTTTGTTGTGATCCACACAATCAAAGGCTTTAGCGTAGTCAATGAAGCAGAAGTAGATGTTTTTCTGGTACTCCCTTGCTTTCTCCATAATCCAATGAATGTCAGGAATTTTATCTCTAGTTCGTCTACCTCTTCGAAACTCAGCTTGTACTTCTGGCAGTTCTCTATCCATGTACTGCTGAAGCCTAATTATTAGCAACGCTGTTGTCATTTGGTTGAAGATTTGTAAGATATTTACTTTAATTAATAATTGTTTCATGATATTGTTTTATTCTCTTGTCTAAAGAGAATTGTTTGACTTTCATAGTTTTGTTGACAAACCCTTTGCACTCTGAGATTTTGACTGAAGTAGTTTCTGTCTGCATCAGCTACTTAAAAACAGCATGTGGTTTTGGTATTAAAGAGAGACTGATACTCCTCATGCAGTGGTCCCAAAGCTGTTTATAAGAGTACATAACCACATATATAACATTAAAAAATCCCATAAATCATTTCAGAAGAAATGTGAGTATCATCTATAAAACAGCAGACTGATCCAAACCTGTATTCCACATAGGTATCAGCAAAAATCCTTCTGAAAGAATAGTGTCTAGGGGGCCATGGTTCAGTGACAGAGCATCTGCTTGTTATGCAGAAGGTCCAGGGTTCAATTCCTGACTCCAGATAGTAGTTGATGTGAAAGATCTCAGCCTGAGACCCTGTAGAGCTCTTGCTAGTCTGAGTAGAAAATACTGAGGAACCAATTGTCCAATTCAGTATAAGTCAGCTTCATATGTACATATATATATATGTAACATTATCACAAGTCTTCCTGAATATAAATGAAGAGGGAGCTGTGCAAATTTCCAATGGAAGTCAGTTCCAAAGCACCAGAGCAACCACTGAAAAAGTTCCAGAACAGTCACTGCAGTCTGGGTATCCCGATGGAAGATAACAGATGAAAGATACTGGGAGAAAAATAGATCTGTATGTGGTTTCATATGGGGAGAGACAGGCCTTCAGATATGTATAAAAGTCAAAAACGGAACCTTAAATTTAAAGTCAAAGTGAAATCCAGCATCTAGGCTTACTTTAAGTGAAGGCCTTCTTACACAGCATTACACTAATCTAGCATTGTAGTCACACTAGCTTAGATCAGTGTGGCCAGATCTGCCAAGTCTAGAAGAAAAAATATTCAAACCAAAAGGCAACCTGTGTGTTCATAAGTATAGCCAAGTCCAAAAGTACCCTGATCTCTTCACTTAATTTTGCACAGATAAAATTGCCCTATCCAAAATTGATATTACAGTTTTTTCTATGCAATTGGCTTTTCCAGTCTGCTCCTAGTAAAGATGCAGTAGCTTCTGAAGGGTTAACCAAATGTAGAGCCTTGTCATCAGAGTATTAAGATGTTCAGTCCCAAAGCTATGGAAAATCTCATTAAGCAGGTTGACATAATATTAAACAGACATAGGAGGAAGAACAAAATACTGAGCACCCCAACATGTGAACTCCCAAAGTGCTGTCATTGACTCTTCAGTGACAACTGTTTATATTTGTTTGGACAATTGTCTTTTTTGGAGGTGTGCTATGAATTTTACCAGCTGGATTTGGAGAGGTTCATCTCCTAGCCTACTTTTTCTTCAGATTATAGGACCGTTCTCCTTGGAGGAAGGGTAGCATCAAAGCATAATAAATACAGGTATGTCTTGTGAACTGTATCAGTAAGACTATATGTATGTGAGAAGTGAGAGCTGGCATAGCATAGTGGCTAGAGTTTCAGGCGAGGACCTGGGATGACTGGATTTGAATTAAGTTTGAGTCCAGTGGCACCTTTAAGACAAATGAAGTTTTATCATGGTGTAATCTTACAGATGCACTGTATCTGAGGAAGTGTGCTTGTACGCGAAAGCTTATACCATGCATAAAACTTTGTTGGTCTTGAAAATGCCACTGGATTCAAACTTTGTTCTGCTGCTTCAGACGAACATGGCTACCCCTCCTGGATCTGGATTTGAATTGTCACTCAACCACATAAGCTCACTGAGTGACCATGGGGTCCATTACATCTCTTGGCCTAATTTACCTCACATGGAGGTTGCTGTGAGGATGAAGTGGAGGATGGAAGAACTATGTGAAAAACAGCTCTGGGTCCCTCTCAGGGAGAAAAGCAGGATATAAATAAATAAGACAACCTTATCACAGTAGTTTCTGGTGAAAGTTCCTGTTTTGCAGCATTTAAATGAAAAACTCAGGGATGTTATATACATAAGAAGCTTCATTAAT